TTCCAGTCTGGGGGGGACAGAGCGGAGACTTGGAGTGCAGTGGCACAATCTCGGCTCACCGCAACCTCCGCCTCCCGAGTTAAAGCGATTCTCCTGCTTCAGCCTCCTGAGTAGCTGAGATTACAGGCGCCCGCCACCACACCCAGCTAATTTTTGTATTTTTAGTAGAGACGGGGTTTCACCATGTTGGCCAGGCAGGTGTCAAACTCCCGACCTCAGGTGATCCGCCCGCCTCGGCCTCCCAAAGTGCGGGGATTACAGGCATGAGTCACGGCGCCTGGCCATATATATATATTTTAATAGAGACAGGGTCCAGCCGAGTGCGGGCCTGGGCAACAAGAGCGAAACTCTGTCTCAAAAAAAGAAAAAAAAAGACACAGTCTTGCTATTTTGCTCAGGCTGGTCTGGAACTCTTGGACTCAAGCTATCCACCTGCCTCCCAAAGTGCTGGAAGGCCACCGAGCCCGCCTGGGATTAGCTTTGGAGGAGCATCCTCTGGGGTGCGTCCTATCCCACATCCCCGCCCTTCCAGCCCTTCTGGCCACCTGAAAGGCGGGCTAGGCCGGCTCCCACCTCTAAATCGCCCCCAAGTACGGGCCCCACCCCTCGCCCACAGTTCCCTCCAGAGGCCCGGTTCTAACCTCATCTTTTTCTCTGAACCTGTTTCTGCATCCCGCTCCCTGAGCCAACCCCAGGCCCGTCCGCACCCACGATTAAGGAAACTAGAATTTCTGTGTTCAATCAGGTCCTACGTGGCTGAAACTTAAGTCCTGGAGCCCCACCCGGCCGGAGGCTCGGAGCGGAAGTGACGTCAGCGCGCCACCGCCATCTTTACCGGCTGTGGTTCCGCATGGTCAGTGCCATTTCGCCTTTATCCTGGTGGAATCCACCCGGCCTGTGGTGAGTTCCACCTGCTTGGGGGTCCTGGAGCTAGCAGGGGGGCGGCAAAGGAAGGACTGGGCGCGGTCGCCCAGGAGCCTCTCGGACCCGCCTTGTTTCACTGGCCGTCGGCCTTCCCGGTGCGGCTTCTGGCCAGTTCCGAGAGGCCGCACACTCCGTCTATCCCCGTCAGGAGCCCCGTCGGGAAGTGAGTCTGTCCCGCCTCCGCGGGGTGTTTTCTTGAGTGCTTTCATCCGCTGTGCTCCCCTCTTGAAAAGCTTGGAAAGCAACCTTTGTGAGTTTTTTTCTTTCCGAAAGGAAAAGGATTTCTACTGTTCTAGTGAGGTTGGCTCTGGCCCCGCAACGTCCCGCGTCCGGAACCTGGCTTTTCGGGCGTGTACCTGGTGAGCACCGGCAGAAAAATGGTTTCAAGAGGGCTGTGACTTCCATTCATTTGCTAAAAAATATCTCATCTGAGAATCTGGCGTTGTCTTGATGTCCTTTACTTTTTTTTTTTTCTTTTGGAGTCTTATTCTGTCACCCACACTGGAGTGCAGTGGCACGATGTTGGCTCACTGCAACTTTCACCTCCCGGGTTCAAGTGATTGTTAGATACGAGTTTTAAATTTCTTTCTAAAGAATCAGTATGTCAGTATGTTTAATTCTTTGCCATCTACTTTTAAACTTCCCCGTAAAGCAACCTTTTTCCATCACCTGCTCCACCCTGACTCATTCTGGTTACCTGCTCCAGCCAGACTCATTTCTATTATCTGCTCCGCCCTGACTCATTTTCCACCCTGACTCATTCCAATTTACTGCTCTGTTACAACCATTTTTCCCACCAAGCCATTCATCCCGTCACTCTCTTTAAATTAGCTAATCGGAATTAGTTTAACCTGTGGGGTCTAACCCTCGCCACAGGGGAACGACACAGCGGCAGGGGCCACATTCCTCAAGAATAAGAACCCGTTCCCCTCCCTCATCCTGGTGTGCGCTCACCATTGCTCCATCTGTGAGGGCACACTCTTGTATAGAAGGAAATTGCCTTGCTGAGAAAATAAAATTTTATATTCGAGTGCTATTTTTTTTTGTGGCACTGAAACTTTATTTATAACATGATTCACCTGCCACAGCCTCCTAGTAGCTGGGATTCTGGGCGTGCACCACCACACCCAGCTAATCTTTTATATTTTTGGTAGAGACGGGGTTTCACCATGTTGGCCAGGCTGGTCTCGAGCTGCTGACCTCAAGTGATCCAGTCGCCACTTATTTTTGACACATTACATTCAACTGGAAAAAATGTATAGTTGTTTAGAGTGTGCCTATTTTTGTATGTAAATATGAACACATGTAGACTGTAAGCCTTTAGTTTTTTATTTTTATTTTCTTGCAGGTTATTTTTTTTCTAGTTGTTACCAGCTGCAAGCTTTTCTACTTAAGAAAGCCCGGCCAGACGCGCTGGCTCACACCTGTAATTGTAGCACTTTGGGAGGCAGAGGCAGGCAGATCACCTGAGGTCAGGAGTTCAAGACCAGCCTGGCCAACATGGTAAAACCCTGTCTCTACTAAAAATACAAAAATTAGCTGGGCGTGGTGGCAGACCCCTGTAATCCCAGCTGTTGGAGATAAAAAAATAAAATGCTTGGTGCTGCAAAGTGAAACCAGCACTCAGGCAAAAGTTTTCTCAGCAACGCAATTTACTGCTGTAGAGAAGGGTGAGTCTCATGGATGGAGCGATGACGAGAGTACACTGCATAAGGGAGGGGAAGGGGTTTTTATTTCTAAGACAGGGTCCCTACCTCTGTGTCACTCCCCTATGGGTTAGGGTCGGACTGCACAATCTAAACTGACCCTATTGAATATTTTCCCCAAATAAGGAAAGGTAGGGTGATGTGTGAGTCACGATGGTGGGACATGCGGTTTCGAAGAGTTGAATAGGTGCAGAATGGGTAGCCAAGGGAACAGAGGTGAGTTATTGATTAGAGTGGACTGAGTTTGAGAACAAAGAACAAGGAAGTTAACAGGCTGAACTTTCGAAGAGAAATTCAGAGAAATATATTGTATCTTACATAGCTATTCCAGAGGCTGAGGCAGGAGAATCGCTTGAACCCGGGAGGCGGAGGTTGCATTGAGCCGAGATCCTGCCACTGCACTCCAGCCTGGGCCACAAGAGGGAAACTGTCTCAGAAAAGAGAAAAAAGGAAGGCCATAATACTCAACTATTCTCTTCATCTGAAGTTCTTAGGTCTGTACTTCCCCACAGAGCTTCAAAACAGGGGCCTCTAGGAACCAGGAAGAAAGGATGGAGGCTTTATTACACTGACACTAGAATTATTTATTATTATAATCAGAATATTTTTCTAGTATCACTGTAATAAAATATCTAGTATCTATATGATTTATTATTATTAAGAGCATGTTTGGACTAAGTGTAGTTTTTATATGTTTTTTTCTGAAAAATTTGATCCTAAGGAAAGCTTGAACATCTGACATACGCAGACATAGCAGATTTACTAAATTTTTTAGCATTGTGTTTTTTTTTCTTTCTGCTTAGGCAAATCTTACGGTGAACAATTTGAGTGTAAATTGAGCATAAATTATACACGTGATGCTTAACCTTTAAATACTTGGTAATGCACCTCCTAAAAGACACTGTCATACTAAAACCACAATGCTAGTATTTCACTTGAATAAAAAATGTCATCTAATGTCTGCTTTGCGTGATTAGTGAAGTTCTCCGCATTGATTCAACGTATGCTCTTGGGTGTTTTTGGATCTAAGATCCATTCAAGAGTTTTACATTGCAATTGTTAGTGTCTTCAGTGTCTTTTTTACCTAGAACAGTTATTATTGTCTATTATATTGACTTTCAGAGCGTCACACTCACTTAGAAAGTCATACAATCAGATGTTTCTGATTGGATTCTCATGGTGTGTGTAAATATTCCGTTATTTCATGCGATTTCCTACAAACTTAGAATTGGGTCCAGAGGAGAAGCTGACAACCATTGTTTGATAATAGGTGACAGTATGTACTTCATGCTTTGGGGACCAGAAAGTCTCAAATTACTCAGTTCTGCCTTAGTTACTTCATGTCCCATGATTAGTTGTTCGTTCTCTTATCTTGTGCTAGTGGCAAATCACAACCTCTTTCTCAAAAAAAAAAAAAACAACAGTTAATCTGCACAAGAGGACATGGATTGACTCTGGAATACCAGAGGGCTGTACTCTACATCTTCTGTTGGTGCAGGCCAGAGTCTTCCAATAAATAACTTGCTATTTAACATGGACATGTTAAGTATCATTGGGTCTGCTGGATTAGGTGGACCAAGTGCTTGGGAAGCTTGCGGTGCTGCCTGAAATTGCTCTTGCCTACGGTTGAAACTAGAATCCTTACAGGTAACTGTGTGGGCTCGTTAAAGCACCTGCAAATGTATATGTTGCCTCCAAAATTCAAGAGGTCTATATGTGGTAGTTTTTGAGAAACCTCCATACTGGGTTTTTTTTTCTTTTTTGAGACAGAGTCTTGCTGGATCACCCAGGCTGAAGACCAATGGCATAGTCATGGCTCATTGCTCCTTTTTAGTGGTAGGTGGTATTAGGTGCAGTAACTTGGAGTGACATATTGCAGGGATGTCTTTACATGATCCAGACAAGGGAATACCTTTACCCACAGACTTGGTGGCCCCAGAATCTCCCACACCATATTTTACAATCCAGAAAAAATTTTTTTGACTCATAATAGATGAACATATTTTCAGAGTACATGTGATAATTTGATACATTCACATAATCAAATCAGGTTAGGATATCTGTCACCTTAAATATTTATCTTTTTTTTTTTTTTTTTTTAAGATAGAGTTTCGCTCTTTTTCCCCAGACTGGAATACAGTGGCGTGATCTCAGCTCACTGCAACCTCCGCCTCCTGGGTTCAAGTGATTCTCCTGCCTCGGCCTCCCAAGTAGCTGGGATTACAGGCATGCGCCACCACGCCTGGCTAATTTTTTTGTATTTTTAGTAGAGATGGGGTTTCTCCATGTTGGTCAGGCTGGTCTTGAACTCCCAACCTCAGGGGATCCGCCCGCCTCGGCCTCCCAAAGTGCTGGGATTACAGGCATGAGCCACTGCACCCGGCCAATATTTATCTTTATTGTAGGAACATCAAGTTATTCTCTTAGCTGGGTTGAAATGTATGATAGGTGAGTGTTAAGTGTAGTCACCCTACTGATCTATTGAACACCAGTTCTTATTTCTTCTAACTGTATATTTTACCCAGGAATCAACCTCTCTTTTTTTTTTTTTTTTTTGGAGATGGAGTCTTGCTGTCACCCAGTCTGGAATGGAATGCAGTGGGATGATCTTGGCTCACTGCAACCTCTGTCTCCTCCCAGGTTCCAGTGATTGTCCTGCCTCAGCCTCCCGAGTAGCTAGGATTAAGGGGTGCACCACCATGCCTGGCTAATTTTTGTAGTTTTAGTAGAGACGGGGTTTTACCATATTGGCCAGGTTGGTCTCGAACTCCTGATCTCAGGTGATCTGCCCGCCTTGGCCTCCCAAAGTGCTGGGATTACAGGCATGAGCCACCTCATGCAGCCTAATCAACCTCTATTCCTGTCTCCTTCCTACACTTCTGGCCTCTAGTAACCACCAATCTGTACTCTATGCTCATGAGATCCACTTTTTTAGCTCCTGTGTGTGAGAATATGGGGTATTTGTCTGCTGTGCTTGGCTTATTTCACTTTCATGATGACCTCCAGTTCTATCCAGTTGCTGCAAATGATAGGATTTCATTCTTCTTTATGGCTGAATAGTAATCCACTGTCTATATATACCGTATTTTTTTTTTTATTAATTCCTTCATTATCGACCAGTTAGGTTGATTCCATATTTTGGCTATTGTGAGTAGTGCTGCGGTAAACAAGGGAGTGTAGATATATCTCTTCAAATATATTGATTTCCTTTCTTTTGGATATATACCCAATAGAATTCCAGATCAGATGGTAGTTCTATTTTTAATTTTTTGAGAAACCCCCATACTTTGTTTTTGTTTTTGAGGTAGTCTTGCTGTGTCACCCAGACTAGAGTGCCATGGCATAATCATGGCTCACTGCAGCCTTGACTTCCTGGGCTCAGGTGATCCTCCCACCTCAGCTTCCTGAGTAGCCAGGATTATAGGCCTCCACTAATACACCTGGCTAAGTTTTTTTGTTTGTTTGTTTGATTTTTTGAGACAGAGTCTCACTCTGTCACTCAGGCTGGAGTGCAGTGGCATGATCTTGGTTCACTGCAACATCCACCTCCCGGGTTCAAGCAATTCTCCTACCTCAGCCTCTGGAGTAGCTGGGACTACAGGTGCATGCCACCATGCCCAGCTAATTTTTGTATTTTCAGTAGAGACAGTTTC